AGAGAGAGAGAGAGAGAGAGAGAGAGAGAGAGAGAGAAACATGGATGTGAGAGACACACATTGACTGGTTGCCTCCCACACGTGCCCCAGGGCCAGGGATCGAGCCCACAATGGAGGTTTTCGCCCTTGGCTGGAATCGAACCCGGGACCCTTCAGTCCACAGGCTGACACTCTCACTGCTGAGCCACACCAGCCAGGGCTAGAGTGTTGTTAGGGGAGGAGACCTTAGTTACCTGCTGCTAGTTGATTTGCTTGAGTCGCTTGGAAACCCCCTGGTTTCCAGTTCTAGTGATGTCCTCGTACCATTTCCTGTCTAAATACTGGAAACTTCACAGCATTAACGTGGACTTCACAGAGTCAGCAGTGTGGCAGTATTTTGATCTTTGTAATTCTGACTATACAAAGTTTGTTTCATGAGTAATTTATATGGAAATACTTCATTCGTAATTTATATGGAAATACTTCATGCACAAGCTGTAAATACAGACTAATTCCAAACCAGCTGAGGCCTAATGTTTGCATGAAGTAACTTACAAGGTCAATGAAAACTTTTTGATACACATGCTTGGTTGAGCCTGAAGTCTGTCCTGGCAGCCAGTTACTGACCCAGCACCTTACGAGAGACTTGGTCCTCTCAAACACTAGGATGTTGAGAGCTTTCTTTCCTTCCTGCATGTTTATTACGTGTACGTATACATGCATTCATACGAACATACATACGTAAGTACATACTTACCATAATTTGAATTTGGGTTCCCTGCAGCCAGAGCCTGTTCTTTTAATCTTGAAACACCATACTGCAATTCTGAATAGTACTACTAGAATGTAAGTAACTGCAGAATTTTCCATAGTATTTATGGAGAATATGTTAACATATGATCAATAGTATATTCTAAATATATACATTCTATATACAGAATGTTTTTAAAATAGACTTACCATCTTCTACGGAGCTGAGTATACAGTAAACAGTAAGGTCATGATTTACTGTGCTGAGAGAATAGGAGTATGATTTGTCTGTCTTCTGCTTTACAGAATGCAGGTAATGGGAAGACAATGGGCTGGATTTGAAACTCAGGTCTCACTAGCTTTGTCACCGTGCACGTTCAAAACATCCCCTTCCCTGCTGCTGCACTCCAGCAACCCTTTCTTACTTATAGTGATCTACCTTAACCAGCCAGACGGGTTATGTTGTTTTGTAAACAAGGTGGTCATTTCCACAAGTTCATATCCATGAAGTAGAAACATAAGTATTCTTATAAATAAATGAAATTCAGTAAATGTCATTGTGTGTAATCAGCAAATATTATTAGTCTGTGTGAGTTATGTTATAGCTTTTAAACCATTGTTTGCTTTGGATAAGACTTTCTTATAATTAAGACAAATTTGGAAATGGGGAATTACAGATTATACCCATTTGTAGCAAATAAGGAGAGGCCATTTGATTTTTATACTCAAAAACATATATGGGAAATGCATAAAATCTTTTTTTTTTTTTTTGATTCTTAATACTTCACTTTTTATTTGTTTCCTTCTCTCACATTCAAGAAAAACTGATTTTTTTTGGTATGTATCTATTTAGCTGAGAAAATTTAATCCGGTTCTCTTAGGTAACACTCCATTTCCTGTCCTCTAGAGGCTTTAAACCCAAGCATATTTTCACCATTATCTGACTGACTTTTCTTCTACAAGAATTTTTTCCCCGCAGTATTGGCTAACACAGAACAGTAATATAGGCATGGAACCAGGTTAACTCTCTAAAAAGCATTATCAATTCAATACCTGAGACATCTAGATGTAACTGGGAATAGTTTTGTTTAGTTTTGTTTTAAATTTACATGTCCTAGTTGCAAAACTATTTAAACTTGGAAAAAATAATTATGCGTTTTGTCTTCGGGTTTTTTTTTTCTTTTTAAAAACTAGTACACAAGTCACATTTATAATAATGTGTAAATAATGCTCTAAAATCATATCATATCAGGGTGCCTGTCCAAAAATTAAAGCAAACTTACTGGATATATGTTGATCATATCCTAGCTACATTAAGAAGCTATGAGCATCCATTACCAAGGCATTTTCAGCCTGTTTTGCCTTAGAAGAGAACGACTAAGGGTCTAGTCTTTTATATTTTAGTCAAATTCCAACCAATATATCCAGATATAAAAGATACACAATTAATGGTGTCTTAGCCTCTTTCTTTTCCAGTACACATACCTATGACTGTGAAATAATTACAGAAAGCAGTATTCTTACCATTGCCTTTTATTGTATCCATTTATTTTGGAGGACTTGTCACTTAGTGTCTCCCATTATTGCGTTGTGTAGATGTGAGGGGGTAGGTTCCTTTCCTCTCTGCCACTAAATTTCTGGTTCTTTCATAGGTCCTGTCAGCAGCGTCCTCGTGAATAAATATGGCAGTCGTCCGGTCATGATAGTTGGTGGCTGCTTGTCAGGCTGTGGCTTGGTAGCAGCTTCATTCTGTAACAGTGTAAAGGAACTTTACTTTTGTATTGGATTCATTGGAGGTGAGTTGCTGTTTCATTTTAAAAGAAATTCCTGTGATAACAGTAAGTGTTCATTGTTGAGTGAATAAATGAGTTGAAAGAGATGATTGCATCCCTTTCCTAAGAATAGTCAGTGGTAGTAGATGAAATGTGTCTTTTATTTTCATCTCTTTATTAGGAAAGTATTTTTATATGTTTGTGTATTTTTTTTTTAGAAAATGCTTATTGACCACTTTTTTGTGTACTGATTTGAGAATAATGCATGATGACTTTACATGTTAAATTAGCCATTTGCATGAGATAGTTATTTTCCTAAAACAATTTTGAAAAACATTGAATTTTGGTAAAATACACATAAAACTTACCTTCTTAAACTTTTTTTTTTTTTTTTTGCCTGTACAATTGTTTATTTATACTGGGAGCAGCCCTCAAAGCATAGGTATATTAAGCCCAGACCCGGACAGTGGCTATGTCACCAGGAACAAGGGGCTTATGGTACACAGTGCTTCATTGTAGGTTTGTTGCCTATATTTAGAAGATCATATCCACCCCCTGACACTTGATAGTTTCATTCACTTGACCTTTCCATTGATAGATGGAGGTCAAGGTCACATATTCAGATCTCACAAGATGGCTTTTTTTATGAATCTGAGAGTCCCTAATTCAAGTGACTCTTAGGAAAATCGCCACTGGCCCTCTTCATGGTAGCAGAATCAGGGCAGCACCACTGGGGCCCACTAACTTAAATGCCTGCACCCAGAGAGCAGCGGACAACTGGCAGATTCCACTCAGGCCTCAGCTAGTTGCTGCGAGGAAATCTCTTTTCTTGATTTTTAAATATGAAAAGAAAACAAGATCCTGTAGTTTGCAGTGTAAAGCAGAAAACGCAGTAGATGCTGTGAGAAGAGCTGTCACCTGGACTGTGTGGAGAACACATGAATTTGCTGTGCTACTGCTTGTCCAACAACCTGCTCCAGTTCTTCGATGGAAGCATTACTTAGTTGCTGGATACTTGGGAACTTCTGAAGCAGAAGGGAAGCTTTAACTTTTCCAACTCCTGGGATCTGCTGCACAGTTCGAAGTAGGGACGGCTCAGATCTGAGCCTGTTTCTTCCGGAGAAAAGGATTCTTACTGGGCTCCTTGGTTTGCTCTTGTACTAACTGGATAATGACGCAGGACGCTTCCATCTGGCTGGCCACTGGAAGCAACACCATCCCAAGGTCCAGCACAGTAAACTTCTGTATGGCTGGGAAGTACTGTTCACTCATCTGCATTTTTTCAACTACTACAATTCCTTTAAGATTACTGGAATTTCTAACGCGAACAAGCCTCTTGCAGTAGCTATTTCCTGCCACCAAATCAGCTTCTGTGATATAAAGAATGCAGGATCTGACACATAAGTAAAAATCTACTGGTGCCAGGCCATCCTCAAAAAGGGGTTTAATTTTCCCTTGCATGCCCTGTGCCAGCTGCAACCCACACCATTTCTCACTGGCAACAACGTGCCCAAGAGGCACGTGCACAGGGCCTGTGCCACCGCGGGGGTTCCTTTCCATGGCGGCCTCGATCTAAAGAGGGAAATTCAAACCTGCAACACAAGGCGGTCCTGCGCATGGCCCCTCATTCCACTCGAAGCCTGGGCGGGCCTTTGGCAGGAGCTGGTCTTCAATGTTCGCTAATTATTTGCCAGAGTCTAAGAACCAGGACTTTCTTGTCCTGGTAGCCCCGTCCCTCATTTTCGTCACCTGCCTGGCCCCTGACACCCCAGCTCCTTAAACATTTTTAAGTGTTCAGTTCAGTGGTATTACATATATTCACATTGTTGTACAAAATTCGCCACCATCCATCTCCAAAACATTTTTCATCTTATAAAACTGAAATTTTATATCCACTAAATAATAACTATAATATGTCCTCTAATAATGAGGATCTTTGTCTCCTTCCATTACTTATACCTTTATTTTAATCTATTTGTCTGGTTAAGTAATTCCAAATATGTCTCTGACATTTATTACAGTATGTGATTCTTTTTCCCCCTCCCCCTCAGGTCTTGGGCTTGCCTTCAACTTGAATCCAGCTCTGACCATGATTGGCAAGTATTTCTACAAGAGGCGGCCGTTGGCAAATGGACTGGCCATGGCAGGCAGCCCTGTGTTCCTCTCTACCCTGGCCCCCCTCAATCAGGCTTTCTTTGGTATCTATGGCTGGAGAGGAAGTTTCCTAATTCTTGGAGGCTTCCTACTAAACTGCTGTGTGGCCGGAGCCCTGATGCGACCAATAGGACCTCCACCAACTAGGGTAGAGAAATATCAGTCTAAAGAAACCACTCTGGAAGCTGGAAAGTCTGATGCAAAAGTGGCAAGTGATGCAAATACAGATCTCATTGGCGGAAACCCCAAAAAGGAGAAACAGTCAGTCTTCCAAACAATTAATAAATTCCTGGACTTCTCCCTGTTCACTCACAGAGGCTTTTTGTTATACCTCTCCGGAAACATGCTCATGTTTTTTGGACTGTTTGCTCCTTTGGTCTTTCTTAGTAGTTATGGCAAGAGTCAGCATTACTCTAGTGAGAAGTCTGCCTTTCTTCTTTCCATTTTGGCTTTTGTTGACATGGTAGCCAGACCAAGTATGGGACTTTTAGCCAACACAAAGTGGATAAGACCTCGAGTTCAATATTTTTTTGCTGCTTCTATCATTGCAAATGGATTGTGTCATCTGGCAGCACCTTTGTCATCCACCTATGTTGGATTCTGTGTGTATGCAGGAGTTTTTGGGTTTGCATTTGGGTGGCTCAGCTCAGTTTTGTTTGAAACACTAATGGACCTCGTTGGACCCCAGAAGTTCTCCAGCGCTGTGGGGTTGGTGACCATTGTGGAATGCTGTCCTGTCCTCCTGGGGCCACCACTTTTAGGTATAGTATGTCTCCCTACCTCCATGGTTCTGTTAAGATAAAACAGGCACGAAGATTGGGAAGATGACAGAAAGCAGAGATCAGTGAGCCTCTTGCTAGAGGAGAGCGAGACTTTCTCATTTCTTCACCCTCGATGCTGGCACAATGCTTGGCACAGCATAACTGCTCAAATACTTATAAAATTGAGTTAAAATGAACCATCAAGCTGAAGGGGGAGTAAAATATTTTTACATATGACATTGTTTCTTAAAATGTTTTCTCTTTGTAAAACTTACACATTTACTCTGCTTCACTCACCACAGTCCTGACACATCAGCCTTCCCCTGGCCCCTCCTGCTGTCGGGTCTCCCGCCCATGGTGCGCCTCTGCCTAGAACGCCCACCTGTGATGGCCAGAGCAGAAGCGGCCCGTCTCCTATTGCTTTAGAGCCTTGGCTTTCTGATTGGTTTGCTCCCCATCTGTCTCCCCTTCTAGAATGAAAGTTCCCTGAGGGCAGAGACCTTTTCCAGACTTCTTTGCCATCTCTCCAGCACTCAGAACAGTACCTTGCTCACACAGTTCATGCCCAATAAATACATGTCCAGTGAATAAAAATAAATAAATCTTGCGTTCTTATTGTAAGAAAACATGAAAAATACAGCTCCACCTCTAAAGCACCGTGGTAACTGCATTTTAATAATGGAGCTCATTTTAATAGTAATTAAAGCAGTAGTAGCAATAATAGTAGCTACCGCATGAGCGCATAGTGTGCTGTCCTATCCCGTGTCCTTTTATACCTCACAGTCTGTGAGGTAGGGACTGTTAGGGCTCCCACTTCATAAGTGAGGAAAGAAGCTTTTAAAGTGAAATAATTTGCTTTAAATCACACAGCTAGTAACTGAGTATATAACTGGGGAACTTTTAAATAACTGCTCAATACATAACACATAGTGAGAAATAATTTGGCCCTTTCTGAGGATGTAATTCCTGCTTCCTTCCGCCATACCCAGTGAGTTGCCAAATCTTGTCAGTTTTCACTTTCTAAATCTCTCTGTAATCTATACACTTTCCCCATCGCCATACTTCCCTTATCCATAGTTCCTGTCTGGGCTGCTCCAGTAGCCTCCTCACTGGTCTGCCTGTATCTGCTCTAGTTAGCCGTCAGTCTGTTTTCTGCTCTCCAGGCACAATTATCCCTGCAAATGCAAATCTGGTATTTCAGTTTAACCAGAACGCTTGAGGAGTTGTTTCCCATCTTCTTAGGTTGAAGATCAAATTCCCTAATGTGGCCTACAGGGCCCCCCATGGTCCCCCCCAGCCGCCTTTCCCACCAGCCTCATTTCCTACCCCTGGCATGTGCTCTCCTCCAGCAGCCTGGCCCTTCTCCCTTCCCCTCTCCCCCGTGCTTCCTCCCACCACAGTCTTTGCACTCGCTGTTCTCTGCCTGGATCCTTGCCCCACCCCCTCTCTGCCAGATAACTCCTTCCTCCTGTCAGTCTGGGCTTAGTTTACTCCTTAAGAGAAGCCTTCCTGACCCTACTTACTGGTCCTACCCCGTTTTCTGCTTTCAGCCCTCCAGGTAGCACTGGTCACAGTTGGTGTAATTATTTAACATCTCTCCCTGCCACTAAACTGTAGATATTATTTCCTTTGCTCAGCCTTCTCCTCAGGGCCTAGGAGACCCAGTGACTGGTCTATGGAAAGGCTCAGTAAACAGGCTGAGTGAATGATGCCCTGAGTTAGAAAACCATATGGAATCCTATATTTGAGTTGGTTATATGAAGTCCTTCATAGATGCAGAGTAGGGTTTTTCAGAGTTTATTCCTTGAAATGCCAATTAGATGAGATGCTAATGAATTTTACTATAACAGGGATTTCATGACCAAAAAAAAAGTTTGGGAACACCAAGTTAAATAGATTTCTTTCCTACAGGACCTTGTAAAGCCTTTGACATGCTAACGTGCACTGTGAATCTTTACTAGAAAAGAATAAGATGTGCCGGTTCCCAAAACTACTGACTTTGGAAACATCAGGGAGGTGTCCTGCAGCAGAGGTTGCAGTTGCAGCTTCAGAGTCAGACTTGCTGGGTTTAAAGCCAACTGTTACTAACTTTGTGACCTTGGGCAAGTTACTTAAGGTTTCTGTACATAAGTATTTACATTATACAATAGAATCTGCCTGTTGTGAGGATTAAGCACTCGGAATGGTGCAAAGGTATGGACGTTAGGTAACGTTTTAGCATAGGACGAATCTTCATAGAAATGCTCTTTGGGAAATGCTGATATTAGATAAAGAGCTTGGGCCTGGGTGACAGAAATGAGCTCTATGACCTTGGGCAAGATTCCTAAACTTTTTTATTTATTTTTTAGTTTTTAGTTTTATTCAATGATTTGAGAGAGAACGGAAGGGAGAGACAGACATCAATTTGTTTTTCCACTTATTTATGCATTCATTGGTTGATTCTTGTATGTGCCCTGATGGGATCAAACCCACAACCTTGGCATATCGGGACAATGCTCTAACCAACTGAGCTACCGAGCCAGGGTTCCTAAATCTTTATTGCAACCATTTTTTCCATTGTGTATTGAGAAAACTGATTCTAGGTGATCTCTAGTTCGTTACCAATTCAAATTTGCCAAGATTTAATTATTTTCAAGTGGTTAAAAACAACAGTATGCAAGGCCAGCCAAAATCAAGTGTCACATCATAAACAAAAGGTAGGGTCATTTTTAGTAGTTCCTTTTAAGACTAATTTGTCATCTGTGGGCTGTTTGAGAATTGGGTTGACATCTTTCCGAATAGATCCCTGAGCTTTATTTGGGAAAGGGTATTACTTTATCCACATAACTGTTTACTGGGTTGTTGTTTTGTTTTCACATCTTTAGGTCGTCTCAATGACATATACGGAGACTACAAATACACATACTGGGCCTGTGGCATAATTCTCATTGTTGCAGGCATCTATCTCTTTATTAGCATGGGCATCAATTATCACCTTCTGGCAAAAGAACAGAAAGCAGAGAGGCAGCAGAAAAAGGAAAGTAAAGAAGAAGAGACCGGTGTAGATGTTGAAAAGCCAAAAGAAGTTAGCGACGCAATGGAATGGCCAGAGCAGAAAGGCACCGAAGAAAACCCCAAAGAGGAGGAGAGTCCAGTCTGAACCTGTGGGGTTAAAGGGCAAATGGAGCAGCTTGTGACCCAAGATACCTGAAAATGTTCTACTGGCCTGTAATCTCCCAGTGGTGCTCAATGCAAATAGTGGACGTTTGTGTGGAAATCCTACCAGGTGTTCCTTGATGGAATTTTTGTTTCACTCCTTACATTAGCCCAAATCTAAAATGCCATATCCTTTGGGGAGGGAGTGGTTGGCAAAGAATGAGGGAAAGAAGTTGGATATGTTTTTTTTAATCTTAGCTTTTAACAGTGTCATGAAGATTATAATATGTGCCTTAAGTTTTAGTCTTTAGAATCTTTAAGGAGCCTTAACTTTTCAACCCATTCTGCTGAATTCATCTATTTTAAGTGTCCATTACAAAGAAAAGTAAGTAACTTGTTCAAAGCAAATCTAAAATTTAATCTTGCTTCAGTGTTATTTGTAACATGGTGTCATATTATCACTGAAAAACTGTAGAAATCAGTAGTTGCCTGGCATATATGCCTGCCTGCTATATATTTAGGAAACTTAAGGCATACAATTTTGGAAATATCTTGGCTATTCTAGACACATTGTGCTCATCAACGCCCGTCTGGTATCTTCTTAGGATGCTTATTAGTCCAGTTCTTGAGTTGATTTCATTAAACTACTATTTCTGCACCCTTTGCAAAGACAGATTTTGAGTCCTTACAGATTCTTGTCCCTTTTGAGATCACTTAGTATTATTTTTTTCACTCTAAAAGTATTAAAATATGCAAAACTACATGTCTGTGCCTCCTTAGTAAATCCAACATCTCTAATTAAATGCAGACAGATATTTCAAACAGCAGCTGAATTCAGCTTAAGTTTTTCTAAAACCTCAGTTAAACTGTGAGACTTAGAATCTTTTCGTTGTTGTTTTTCCTGGAACTTGTTCCCCTTCAACTCATAGTGGTTCCATTTATATCGATGTCTAGCTTAGAGCTGTGTGTGAGATATTAGGTCTTTGTGTGTTTAGTTTTGGTGTGTGTGTGTTGTTTTATTATTTTAATGTTTGCTAATTAAAGAGAGCCAAAGAGATTTGGCCCCAGGCAAACCTATAAGGATAAGGTTGGGAGGGAAGTTGCTGAGTGTTTTTTGTTCAATAAATAACTCCTTTTTTCTGAGAAGTTCTTAAAGAAAATTATGTTTTGGTTAGAATTATTGGACACATTTTACTCTCCACACAAACCTAAAAATTTTGTGACTCATTTCACTTATTTGAAAAGTAGAGAAATGGATTTGTTATAAGGATAGGAGGGAAGACGGACCAGAATGAAAATGAAATATTTTTTAACCTAATATCCTTTAAATTGAGGTAGACCAATGACATTCAGTGAATTATATATTGTATTCAATGTATTTTAAAATATTATTGTAATTGACAGAGTGAAAGTATAGATAAAAACCTTGTGTAAGAGGCTGGCTTTTCCAAATAAATTTTTTTTTTGAAATGTTTCTTCCTCCAAATGTTTTAAGGAAAACATTACTGTCTTTTCATTATTAAGATTCAATTTGACCCTTGCTAATAGTAAATTAAATCATTCAGTTTATGTGCTTTGGGCTTTGTGTATATGTTTTTTGTGTGTGTGTTTTTTCTCCTTTCCTCTGTAAGGCAAGCAAGAGGGGAATTCTGAAACCACCTCTCTGAAAGCATCCAGAGGAGTGAACCTTCAGGACACAATGAGCGCTCCCTTCCTCTGCCTGAGTGTCACGGCAGATGGAGGAGCTGTTTCGGGGAGAACCTGCTGTGACCGCTGGCAGGCTTGGCTCCAAGCCTGGACTCTGCCATTTTCCTTGGACCCAAGTCCATAACCTCTGTGTGCCTCTTTCGCCTTCTCTAAAGATGAGACCACGGTCATGAAGGAGTGGAAGAAAAGGAAGGGGGGCAGCCAAAGCAAGTGTCTAGGGTTATTTTACCCCATCCCAGTTGTTGAGCTACGGCCACACATAAGCCCTGTTGTTGGTCTTTGTCATTAACCGAATCTTGTCAGTGGAGGGAGGAGGCCTTTATGGTCCAGATTAACCACCACTTAGAAGAAGGGCGGGTTGGGAAGCTGCTTCATTCAGGAGCAAGGGCCAAAACCCGGCTCAGCGGGAACTAACCCATTATTCTCACCCAGTCCAAGGCTGGCTTTCCCCCCTGAAGACGCAGGCTTAAGGGATTTATTCAAGATCAGCTTTGGAAACAGAGCCAACACCGAAACCCACGCTCAGCCCCTCTGCCCTCTACTCTGCTAACGAGCAGCTCCTCCCGTCGCAGTGCCGCGTTCAACAAGGAAGCCCCAGGCGGCCGGCCCAGGCTGCTGTCGCTTACTCCATGTGGGAACTAAGTTTCACTCCACAGTTTCAGTGGCTGCTTTGGGGACAGAAGTGCCTATCTTTTCTCTGCCCCACACCCTCTGAAAGTCACAGAACATACGCAGTCTTGGTGGTGCCCCAAAAGCTTCAAGAGTACATGCGGAACAGGCTCCCAAGTCAAAGCTAGAAAATTATTTAAGAAACTGACAGGTTAGACAATCGTAGATGATCTGGTGCCAAACAGGACTGTATTAGTATATTACACTCAAAATCTATTGAGAACTTAAGTGATCGTAACTCAGATAAATGACTAATTTCTACAAAAAATATTCAGGAAAGGATGACGATAAATTATGGAAAATTCTGAAAGGGGTTTTATCCCCGATTTAATCACACTGATGAATAAAGCCTCTAGATTCTTACGTTGTCTAAACTTAGAATTGTATGTCTGTACCATAGATATATATATATATATATATATATATATATGTCAGTATTAATCTTGTATTTTAAAAAGGAAAAAATTATTAGCCATTTGATATTTCTGTATGAGCCAATGTTTTGCTGTATTGAATTTCAGATGGATGAACTGGGTATTGGTTTGTCTGAAAAATCTGAACGTCTGGATTTAACCTTCCCTAGCAAATGGTTCACAGTATAACCATCATCAGTTGAGTCCCCTTCCCCCCACTTTTGGTTGGAAAGATGAGGAAAGGTTAACAGCAACTTTCCACCTTTGCAACATGGCTTGTTTTAATCATCCGGTCAGGCACTTGCCTAGAGACGTGGAGAAAGGTTGATGATAGACGTGTCACTGAGAATCCCCTCAGTGCCTGAAGGAAGGGACGGCCGCGCTTGCCTGCCCTGCCCAAACGTGAGCAACGAGGCCAACGGCTTCCGAGTTTAGAAGCATCTGAGTGGACTTAAAGTACATTGCTCCTGAAATGTGCTGGCTTTAGAGCTTTAGACGCAGCCGCCCTCCCTTCAGTCTGGGCTGTAGTGACAAAAGCGTCCCTCCGAGAGTGGCTGGTAGAGCATCTTCCTCCTCAGTGCAGCAGCAGTGATTAACCTATTTTTTGCTGACGTGACCCTGACTTGCTAGACGCGGGTGGGACAGCTGCCAAAGGAACCACAGTCTCCTGGCTGCTTAACAATATATAGGCTGCCGAGGTGCAAGCAGAGGCTGGGTGACCGACAAGTTACTCGTCTCCCTAGGCATCAGGGCTTTTCTTCTGTTTGGTGTTGAGAATAATCAGTATTAACCTCCCAAGGCTTGTCATGAAGGTTAGTGCTTTGTGGCATCTCGTATGTCGAGCAAGGGCTTAATAAGTGTGAGAATCTCAGTATTTTTAAAAACCAAGGAAAATTAATACTTAAGGGAAATGACCTCTTGGAATTCCCAAAATGGACCCTTTCGTGCAGAGGATGGTGTGCCAGTAGTGACTCTTAAAGATAAGAACAGGCCTGGCCAGTGTGGCTCGGTTGGCTGCGCATCGTCCCGTGAACCCAAAGGTTGCTGTTCGATTCTGGGTCAGGGCACATGCCCGGCTGCTGGCTCCATGCCTGGTCAGGCGCATGTGGGAGGCAGCCAACCAATGTTTCACTCTCACATCGACGTTTCCCTCTCTCTCTCCTCTCTAAAAATCAATAAACTATTCTTTAGGAAAAAAAAAAAAAAATAAGGATTTTAGCTAACTGTTCAAATTCTGTTTTGGTCGGATCTCCCTTCAGTCTGAGTGGATGAAATTAACCGCATTCGGTCTTGGTGTCGTGTCCAGCTCCCAGGAAGGTGGTTTCAGTCCCAGAGGCCTCGGTCCTTCCCCTCTTAGCAGTACACGGCCTGCACAGGGAGGGGGGATGCCCAGCCAGCAGATAAACTGGTCCCCTCAATATTTGTGATGACACTAAATGAGAAGAAATATAACTGGTAACCGATGTTGACTCGGTCCTTTCCCCCAGCAGTGCCCTGAAGTGCAAACTGGAGGGCTGCTGAGGTCTTATTTTCCCTGCGACATTAACAACACGATTTAAATGATAAGTTATTGTTTGGTGGCTGAATAAACTGCTATAACGTATCGGCAAAGCAATTCCATCGTTCGTGTCAGGTGCCAGGAACCCGTATCGTTCACTGAGTCCAGGTTGGGGCCCTGGCCGCGCCGCTCAGCTGGTCAGACTGCCTGCCACACACCAGAAAGGCGGCGGCTTCGGTCGGGGAGCGTCAGGAAATTGTGTCTGTCTTTGAAATTATCGATTTATTTGAAAAATACTGAAATGTGTATCAGTAACTATTGAAATGGATCCTTAAAATAAAAGGGTCTTATGAGGAGCATGGCACGGTACTAAGAGAGAAGGGAGGGAACGAGTTACCGTGACCCGCACGTACGCGGGACAGGCCGCCCAGGTGGCAAGGGCGTCGCGGCCCTGCTGATCGCTTTGTGAGCACAGTGCAATGAGAGGTGGCCTTTTCCCTGCATTTTCTCAGTATTCTAAGTTTTATTAATACGGTTACTTTTACACTAACACGTTTAACGCAGCACATACTGGTTTACAGGGGGAAGAGATGCTGCACTTGGCCTAGCAGATGAAGCTGATGATGGTTGCAAGCAGGTCATTTTCCCGCTCCAGGAGCTGCATCTGAACAGAGGTGAGCGCGCCGTGAGCTCAGGAGCACAGGAGCCTCAGGTGGGCTCCATCATTCAGCTGCAAGTGGATGTTTAACTCGAGCCAGAGTGTTGAGCGCTTACCAAGTCACCACACTGCAGTCTTAAACGGTGCCTTACCGAGACAGCGTCGGGAAGAAACACGCCCGTGGCATGCACGCACAGGAGTAGGACCTGCCTGTCCGCACAGTTTCACTTCTTTACTTACCAACAAGCATTTACTGGGCCTTACTGCGTCCTCAGCGTCATTCTAGGCTTAGAGAATCCAGCCACGAAGGAAACACAGTTTGCCTTCCCATTGTTAAAAAAAGAAACTGCAGGCCAAATTGGAGTCACTTTTGTTAAGCCACATCACCAAACCAGAACTCAGAACTAACCTAATTATGGTTTCAGCCTCTCCCAGGAGTGGAATTTTAACACAATCAGCCTGGAATTTCTGATCAATGCTTGGGAGGTAATCTGCCTGATAAGACTGCTGGCCTTCCCCTAAGAGAAGGTGTCCTTGCCTGAAATCCAGTCTCAACTTCTCAGTCCCACCCTCTCTGCCTGCCAAACCTTCCACTGTGTACAACTCATCTGAGCAAACTTCCAGTGGTCGTTAGGTGGGATGAATAGCTCAGTAAAGCCAATTAGATCTTTAAATCTACTTGGTTGAATTTTGTTTTTAATACGATGCATCTTACATTCTATTCTGGTAGGGAAGACTGGATGTAAGATCAGCCTTCATTCATTCATTCATTCGTTCATTCATAAAAACAGTATTTCTCGGAGCACCTTTGATGTACCTATTTGCTGGGCAGAGGGGACATAACTGAACAAAACCCAGTTGCTGGCCCCTCAGCTCCAGTCTGGTGGGGAATAGTATATAGTAAGTGCTGGGATGGGCGGCACCTGGGCAAGTCTAACCCAACTTCAAGAGAGCCTAAAAGCAAGAAGTAGCCCTGGCCGGCCGGCTCAGTGGTTAGAGCGTCAGCTGTGGACTGAAGGGTCTGGGGTTCAACTCTGGCCAAGGGCACACACCTTGGTTGCAGGCGCCATCCCCAACCCAGGTCAGGGCTCATGTGGGAGGCAACCAATTGCTCTGTCTCTCTCTCTTCCCCTTCCACTCTCTCTGATGAAGCAATGGAAAAAATATTCAGGTGAGGATTTAGAAGACCATATATATATAATTATTTCGCAAGTTAACTTGTGAGCCTCTTTGGTAAAATAAACATCATAAAATTATTGTGAGGATTGAGCATGAAAGTACTCAAAACACTGTAGACTGCATACTGGTATTATATTGAGTACACAGTAGTTTTAAAAATAAAATCTGAATCTGCTTGAATATTCTGCAATGCAGTATAGCATGTGTCAGTTAAATCATCAGCCAGAACAACAAGGAAAAGCTGGCAATATCTATATAGCTCATCAGTGTGTACAAAGGCCTTTCAAGTCTTCATGCAAAATCCCAGCTGGGTGGGTATAATGAAAATTACTGACCCCTCAGCGGGGCCTCCATCCAGCCGCCGTCTCCCCTGCCATCAGAAAAGGCAAAGCAAGACTGCAGAGAGCTCAGGGGCCAGAGCTGAAGGTGCAGTGGCTAGAAGTTGGTAA